CACACACACACACACACACACACACACACACACAAAATAGAGATCCATTGTGTACAGCAACCCAGTCTTTGTAAAGCCGAGGGAAAGGATACAGGACTTGGAGGTTGAGTTGCTTGCTACTGTTATGTAAATGGGTCTCTACACCAGATGCTCGGGATTTTTGGAGATCACAGGTCATTTTAAACATTTGTAAAGGTTTGGGGGACCAACATAGAGTGCTTTTTCATCTTTCGTTAACATCATTTCATACAAGACATAATTTCAAAAATGTAGAAAGGACATAATTTCAGAATAAAAGGCAGTACTTCCAATCAAATAAGTTTAGCTTTGGGAATAACTCATGACAACCTTCTTCTTTGTTCTCGTTTTGCTTTGAGCTGAGGGCAGCTTTGTCACGACAAGGCCCTGGTCCTTGTACTTACTTGTACTTGGAAACCCCTGGTCTCGGCCACGTTGCAGGTGGAGCCATATCTCTGCTCAGACTACTTCCTGGGGAGCCATATACTTCTTCCTCTAATAGGATCGTGTACTGGGCTGGGCTGGGAAACCCTTGATTGTTATTCCATGATAAGAAGAAAGAAATAGATGGAGAGAGAATAAGGGTGCACACCCAACTGTGAGAAACCTGTTGGAGCAAAAGCTCCCTGATGTTGAGGTACATTCTCTAGAGCTCTGGGTATAAAGGTGAGCACAGATTGGGACAAAGCACCCTGTCTCTCACTTGTGTTTGAACCCAGCACCTGGGGGATTTTCAGAGGCCAGCTGCCGGGGTTGTTGGCATTCCCATGGAAACGGTTATTGTGAGACACCTTCAGGTAGCTTCTTGGCTGCTACTTGGGCTATGATTACAGAGAACTGTATCTAGAAGTCCGTAGCTGTCTGACTTATTTGTGAAATTTTAGGTTGTCTTCTTGGATGATGCTGCAAAGGGAGCTAAGGAGGTCGTGGGCTTAGGCCATTATATTTCGAGCATAAACATGACTGGGACCGTGTGCGTCACAAGCGAGTGAGGCCTCAGAAAATAAGACTCTTAACTTTTGGGGTCAGACAGCCTAGTTCTGAATCCCAGGTCTGCCACGTACTTGCCACTTAACCTTGGGGTCATTACGCAACCCAAGTTACATGGAACCCTTATAACTCATTTATATTTACATGTAAACATAAATATGTGTTTGTACTGTGTTTGGCATTTAGAAATCTCATTAATACACATTAGCTCGTATCAATACATAAAACTGAGAAAACTGAAGCTCAGAGAGGCGAAGTGACAAAAGGCCAAGGTCACACAGCGGAGATGACAAAGCCATGGGTCCTGAATTCAAGTGCAGATGTCTTGCTCCTGACTCAGTGTGGTCCATGGGTCAGCAGCTTGTGAGGGATCTGTGAGCCGGTTAGAAACACGGCATCTCAGGCCCCGCCAGACCTCCTGAACCAGAGCCTCCATTTTAACAAGACGCCTGGGTGGTTCACATGGGCATTGATGTCTGAGAAAGCACTTCTCCAAATCACACTATTCTTTAGAAAGTTTTCACAATTGATTTAAAAAAAAATATATATATATATATATCTCCTCCGGAGAAGAAAGATGGGGAGTCACCTTCACACTGGGCTCAACCTAATCATACTCCAGACAGTAAGCAGGAGACCTTGTTTTTAAAGACATTTATATGAGAGTATGTGTTGATGAGGCAATTTCCAAATTTAATTAGATGAAACCAATTTGATTTTTTAAATGAGGTTCTGGTTGTAATTTCTAGAGAGAAATCCATAAATTACAAATCATCCCTCTCTGGCCTCAAAAAGTATATTTTGTGACAAAGAAAAATAGGAGAGCACAAATGGAAGAGGCACTCAGGATTGTCTGCGCCTTTCCATGTACGACCTTGGACTTGGCAAAGCCAAAAGCCAAAGAGGAGGGGAGGTACGTAAATGAGGCTTATGACTGTGTAATATTGTAAATATTGTCAAACACCGCAGGTCCAAGTACTATGTAGTAGGTTAAGATTAAATTTTCTTCCCGAGGAGTCCAAGTCATAATCTCTGGGTCCGTCCTTGGACTGTTTGGCCCTCCCCCTCAAATCTGAGTGGCTTTGATTATGTCTCATTCTTTTTCTGGGCTTCAGTCTTCTCTTTGTAACCCAAAGGTGTCAGACTGACTGTTCCAGGCTTCAACTGGGTTAGAATCGAGAGAAAAAAGAAATGTACATAAAACCCACAGAATCAAAGGTCTATACCTCATTCTGGAGTTGCTCTGCTGTTGAAACCTTGCCTGAGGCCAGAGTCTTTGAAGGTACAGCAGCGATGACACGTGAAGAAAAACAGTTCATGCAAAGGCCCTGGGGTAGGAATGACTTCGGCATGTTTCGCAACTAGGAAGCTTTGTGGGCACGGAGGACCCTGATGAGACCGTGGGTGCGCAGGGTCATGTGATGCAGGGATTCTAGAGTTTGTGCTTTGTCCCAAGAGGAATAAAAAGCCCCAGGATTTTAAGCAGAGGAATGAAGGAATCAGATTTACATTCTTAAAAGATCACCCTGCTGTTGTGTGGCTAATGGGGCTCTGGAGGCACAGACATCTTGAGGACATCTGGAAATTGTGCCAGGAGGCGAGAATATTTCCATCATCTATGATGTTGCAATGAGCTTGGCTTTTTATCGAAAGACCTTGTACCTAGGTGGCAATGTGAAAACTTTGTCCTATCGGCCTCTTTCCTGCTGCTAACCTGGATTAGAAATTCAACCACGGCCTTAGGTCTTCAGGGACCTGTACTTGAGTGGGAGACGCAGAATGCCCTTGTGTGATCTCGGGTTGACAGACAGTGCAGTTAGGGAACGCCGAAGGCCTCATGTCCACAAACTAGCAGATCTTAGGCCCCAGCCCAGACCCACTGAATCAGAGTCTGTGTTTTAACAAGGTCCCCAGGTGGTTCGTGTGCACATTCAAATGTGAGAAGCACAGGTCTAGGAGACGTTTTAAAATTTCATAGTCTGGCTCTGGGAAGCTCTGCTTGATCAAAACACTGCAGTCCCTGCATGAATAATGTGGCCATTGAATGAACTGAGTAATGTCTCTGCTCACAGGGGGTCCAAAGAGCTGAGTAGCTTCCCCAGGAATGTGGAAATCAGGCCATTCCCATAGACTCCTCCAGAGCCTGCTTGGGTCTGAGTGAGATATCGGGGGCTCCCCAATCAGGGCCTGCGTGTGAAGAGGGTTTCTGGGGCCCCTCCCATGCCAACTGTGCTCTTGTGAACAACACAGCTCCCAGGCCATCAAAACTGCAGGCGGGCACTTACAGCCTGGATGAGGTCAAGGGGGAAACAATCCAGCCAAACAGTTGTTTTAAAACGCCTCAATAAAATCATTCACAGACAAGCTGCTCAGAGTTCATGAAAAAACAGTAATCAATACATGTCTCAATTCAATTAGTTG